AAAAAAAAAAAAAAAAAAAAAAGGAGCAAGGTGCCTGAGGAGGTGTGCTCTCTTGTCTCATAAAGGCTTGTTCCTACTTACTTCCATTCCCAGTGGCCTCTTTATTAAGTTCCGGGTTTGAATGCTTAACTAGACATACAGCACAAACCCCTTGACCCAGACCGAGCTATTTTTGTAGCCAACACCCTGAACATTGTGCTGTCAAACAATCAACATTACATGATCACATCTGTTAAACTGTCTACCATGCAGGCTGAGATCATTAACTGGAAAGGAACAAAACCTCTAACCCATTCAGACCGGATGATGGACGTTGCGTCACATCTTCATGTAGACAAACATCAAGCTCTCAGTCAGCAAGCACCACATGTCAAGTCTTTATAAACTCGTTCAATAACCTTGTACTGAATCCACCTGAGAACCAGTCGGTGTGGTACGAATATAAACGCTTTCTGTTTTATAGAACATCCACTGTTTTGTTGTTTAGCTTGTTCTCCTGTCACTTTATAGACAACATCAATTTTTGAAATATCCACGTATTTATTGGTTTTTTCTGGAGAAGAAATGTGCATTCTACACAAAACCCCCAACAAAAAGTGCAAAACTACACCTAGTACACCTGTAGCCTTTATGTACAAAGATTCATGAGAAATGACAAAAGCTTTCCTAGACCGAGGATTATTTTTCCGCCGAAGCACAGCCCATAGACATGAACCACCCTAGTCATGAACCACCCTAGTCATGTGCTCTGTATATCATTCATCATGCTACCAAAAAGAAAGGAGAAAAAAAAAAGTTATGTGAAGCGTGATGCATATGGACGTATCTTTTGTCAACAAGGAAGTCAAGGCAACAAAAAAAATTTCACCGAGGTCCTTGTGATTTCTGCACAGAGTAATTTTATCAGAATAATACAAGCACCTTATTAAAATTGGTACCGTCTTATTTTTTTTTGGAGGCAATACAGCTTCTAATAAGCAGTTGCATGTTGTTAACATGTACATTCCTGGGCAAAAAGCCCAAAATGGCAAATATTAAGCTTTTAATGGTCTTAATAACAAATCATTGGTGAGAAAATGAGTAAAAATTAAACAGATGCACTCCTGAGAGCTCCTGTGCCACAGTTTGCTGCAGTGAACTGTTTGGGGAAAAGTTAGAAAGGGAAATTCCCTTATATAGTCTTCTTGTACACAAAGGTAAAATCATGATAATGATTAAAATGCTTGATGTAAAATTCAAACTAACACATGTCTGGGTGTACAAAATATTCCGACAATATCTTGTGGGGGTTTTTTTTCTTAAAAGATTATCATTATTTGGTTATCTGCCACACCTGATGCAGCCCATCAAGACCCACGAGGCTTAAACATTTAAAGAAACCAAAGGGAAAAGCTTCCCATACGCAGTTCCTTTATCTGTTTGTTTAAATCTTGCTGATTTCCTGACCAATGATTTGTTGTTAAGACCATTAAAAGCTTAATATTCTGCCATTTTTTTTGCCCAGGACTCATTTTAATAAAATCACCGCATTCCAATTAACATCACATACACTCCTTGTGTGTAAAATGTTGTGTGACGTTATTTCAGGAATGACATGACATCAGTGTACCTGGCATCATTTTAAACCCATTCTCATTCCCAGTAAATGACTTATAGTTATACTACCTAATAGTGATGGGGCAAATAATACTGATAGGAGTTGATGGATTGGTTCCCACCTTGAGAGACACAGGATTAAACATTCCCTCAGGATTTTAAAATGGTTTCCATTACAAACCATCAGCTAACCATTAAAACCATTATGGTCCTTAATGGTATCCATTAGACATAACATGCCACCAATAGAAGGCAACAGATTACCAGTAGAGACCCACAGGGACTGTTACAGAAGCCATTAAAACCAATACAATTCCCATTCTCTGTACTGCTAATCCTACACAGGGCTGGGGGGAAACTATCCCAGTTGCATGTGTTTGGACTGAGGGAGGAAACTGGAGAACCTGGACGAAACCCCCAAAACACAACATACAAGCTCGACCCACACGGCAGAGGTGGGAATCGAACCCTGAATCCTGGAAATGGCAGGCAAGCGTGCTAACCACTAAGCCACTCTGCTCCCGCCCATTAAAACCATTAAAACCATTAAAGATTCTATGAGGGGTTTCTAGTGTGTTCCTAACTGACTCCAGATTACACGGATAAACTAAACTACCCTTAGGAAAATGTGGACTTGGCTGATGCTGAAGAAGAAGAAGAGCATGATGTGTTTAAATCTGGACACAAACACACTAAAATACTGTCTTCACAGACAGAGACCGGTTTGTACGACGACTTTCAGCAGAGTTCAACTTCCGGTGTGCGTCATTAAACGCAGAAAGAGAACTGACAATATCTAAATACGTGCTTTGAAATGCGGTTGTATATACCTAATGTCAAAACTGAGCTCGGATAACTGGTTGTTTGCCCTTTTTCCCCGCACTTCACACGTCAAACCACCAATCAAATAACGGCTCGCTTCCGGTTTCCCTACTGCCACAGCAAAACAGCTAAAACGGCTAAAACGGCTAAAATGCACACAAACTGCAAAGCATGCCTTGGCGACTGACATCTTACCGCTTAGTAAAGGCCACTGAGCCAGGTCGCAGTGAACAAGTCATAGTAACAGATAATTGAAATCAAAGCCCGAGCATAAGGTTGAAACATCAGCATGGGGTGACTCCAGCTCCAGATCAGCACAAAGTACAGCAGTGCTTTCACACAGCTCACCAGGTCATGTGATGAGCAGCTTATCATGCAGGCATCACAGCTCTGCTTCACACAGCGCTTCATCCCGCGGTTATTGTTACATTCTCATTTAAATAAGATTAAATGTATCTCTGCTTAGCCAGCTGAGGGTTAAGGGCTTTGCTCAAGCGCCCAGCAGAGGCAGATTAACAGTGGTGGGATTTGAACTCACAACCTTCTGAACAATAATCCAACGTCTTAACCACTGAGCCACCAAATCCTCCTGTCTTATACTATAAACTTCTCATGCTTCAGGTGTTACACTGCTAACTCAGCTGTCTTACGAAAGCAGTCATGCAGAAGCAGCTCTGAATCTACACGACATTCTTCCTGCTGGATATCGCTGTTATTGGGACAGTCATCTCTCTCTCTCTCTCTCTCTCTCTCTCTCTCTCTCTCTCTCTCACACACACACACACACACACACACACACACACACACACACACACACACACACACTAACACTGACTATAAACTGGCTAAACCATGGATGCTACTAAACACAGACATGTCCATCAGATCATTTCCATTCTCTGTAGCTATCTAAATAACCTTATAGTGTTTTTCTTACCCGGTTATCTAGCTAGCTAGGATGAATATAATTCAACTGCGTTTCCCCAGAGACCTTAACCACCTGACTGATCATATCAACCTTCCGGTTATAACCAACACAAGCGACCCATCACTGTAACCTGCCTGCTAACCGCCTTCCAGCTCAAATCAGATCACCGCGAATATTACTAGCCAAGTGTGAACAAAAATAACATCCGCTTACCTGTTTTGTTGTTATTGTTTTCTACAGCATAACTATATCATCTGAACTAAGATAAAACACTCGTCCTTGCTTGTCACAATACAGCATTTTAATCCACTTCACATGATCAGTTGTGTTAGCCCGCTAGCAAGCCAGAAAAGGGAGTCTCATCTGAGTAGACGGAAGTAATCGATCCCACAGCGCTCGATCATTGTTTTTATCACGAGACAAGACATTACTCATCTATTTGAGCAATCGAACTTGCCATGTACACAAAGCACAATTTTTTTTTTTTTTTTTTTTTTTTTAAATAAAGGCGAGCTTGTTGATTAAGCTACAGTACTTTGGATTTTTTTGTTAAAATGGAAAAAACATAATAATAATAATAATAATAATAATAATAATAATAATAATATGTTCTCTGCAGCGAGCCATCCTGACAATGGGCCCTTTTCAGACTTTCCAGGTTTAGCTTTAGTAGGGTAACTTATTTCTGCTACACCAACAATAACAACATTGAAAATTCATCACCAAACTAACAGAAAATAACTGTAGTATATAAATATTTTTTAGAAGTTTCTATTTTACTTTCATGATGGAAAATTAACTCCTGCAGCTTACTAAATCAATTCTACCCAAGGTTTTCTTATTGAGCTGTAAACAATATTAATAAAAAACAACACACACACACGCACACACAAATGAAGTGTTATGTATCCTAGTCTAATATATGTCATGTTTACACAATGCTAAAATTAGTGCTCATATGTTAACTCCTGCAATATGAATATGTCAAAGGTCAGTGCAGGTGCTATTAGTCAGCAAAATCCAAAGTTCAAGTTAATTGTGAAGTTTTGCTTGCAAAATCTGCACCAGAAGTCTCACAGCAGGAAATTCCATTGATTAACATTAACATGCTTCTTAATTTTTATTGCAATTTTTTGCTGACAAAAATGTTGCTAGCGTGAGTGAGCATTTATTTGTTTTCTTTAAAGTTTACCAAAGTCAACAGAGTACATACTGCATATTATTTATAAAAATAATTACAGAGCAGTATTACTCTTAGACACTGAAAAGGCTGAATCACCCAATTGTATGTCGAATTTACAGTTTGTTAATATATGACTAGCCATATACCTAACCCTCACATTTTCCCAGGATTATTTCCAGTACCAGTTAAATAACGTATAATTAATTACAATATATAATGTGTAAGTTGTCCAAAATACTATAGACACTACATTTATATTTATTAGTAGCTTTGTGGATCACTGGATTTTGGGAGCTCAGTAACTCTGTATCATGGAGCATTGCAAATCTGTAAAGAGTTTTAGTACCATATTCCAGGCATTAAAATCTTTATGCTTCTTTATGACTGTAGCAAAGGCTAAGGCAGCAACACAAACAAATATTAAAATTCCGATGCAACATGATTCTTCCATAGTAGGTAAATCATCAGCAGGTACAGTGATGATCAGATATCAGGGTTATACAGTCAGGTTCATAAATATTTGGACATATGCAGCTTTATTGTTATTTTAGCTGTGCACCACTGTATATTGGAGTTGAAATTTAATAATTAATATGAGCTCAAACTGCAGACTTTCAGCTTTAATTTGAAGATATTTACGTCTAAATCGGGTGAATGGTGTAGGAACCTGAAGACAATTTCAGGCCTTTTGAGGCACATTGAGGTCATATTCATTTAATTTCAACTCCAATATACAGTTGTAGACATCTAAAATAACAATAACTTTGTCAATGTCCAAATATTTATAGACCTGACTGTATATGCTTACACGTTCAAGTAAAGTATTCACACCTATCTTCAGGAAACCGAATGCTTGTCTTCCAGCCACCATCTTGTCGCTCTTCTTCAAGTCGCTTGGAAAATATGTTATGAATTTCCTTAATGATTACAGCTTAAAGTAACATCTCAGCAAATTAGCATGCTTCATTTAGGTCATTTTAGATGCAAAGAACCACATGGACTTGGCCTTGTAACTCACTCACTCATTCATATTTATCAAACTGAAGATTCTTCATAAGGGTGAGTATTAACACTTAAGCAAACTTTGGTCGTATTATTGTAAGACATGAGCTCACGAATGAACGTACAGTATGTTTGCAGTCTACAAATATTCAATTCAACCTCCCTAATATTCAAATAAGCCTAGAGGGTAACACTGGTGCGCTCATAAACTACAGGCTAATAATCATTATATTACATGTAATCAGTTCATGTTCAGTGATTGTAGTTTCTGTAACGTATTCTGTTAAATACAATGATTTTAGCTTTAGACAATACTTCTACTATGGAAAATCATTCATATAAAGCTGATTATCTGAAAGTAGAATTGAAAGTATTGGTCAATTTTTGAACTTGTGATTCAGATTCTTTCTGCATGTTCTTGTCTTTTTCTCCGCTTTCCAGTGTCACGTCCTTTTCACTGTGTAGAGAATTATCTCATGCGTTCTTCTTATGCTTTTCCTTTAGACAACACCATGGTCTTCTGCGGCAAAACATCTACAGGTGGCTGTAAAGAGCAGAGAAAACAACTAGTGCATGATCTGCATTTGGAATAGAAATGATTTAAAACGTCCTACTGAAGAAATGTAATGATGACTGACAGATGGTACTTCGTAGCTCACCTGAGCATGGCATAATGGTGGGAATCGCCCAATGCTCTTCATAACATCAAGGGTTTTTACCCATTGTTCATTCCACACCTGTACACTGTAGTATGGTGTGCATTGTGATAAACGTCGGAGCATTATTTTATTAACCTTCACAATTTCAAGCAGTGCTTCTTGCCTTTTGTCTGTGTCAAGCCTGAATATGAGGTACAAGGGATATTTGCTTTAATTTAATTTAACACAGAGACGGCATTACCTCAGTGGTTCTGTGTTAGCGAAGGTTGTCAGTTTAAATCCCAGGACTGTAAAATGCATACCTTTTATTCACATACTCATTTCTACAGTCAATTCCCCCAGTGGTTTGCTTGATGTGGGATATTTTATCCAGGAGCATATGATTTTCTCTTTGGATCGTTGAAAGTCGTTCTTCCTCCAGCTGGTGGAGTAGAGCATTAATTAGAAACAAGAAATGTTATCATGGTTTAATGAAATGATCAGTGAAGCTTTAGAAAGGTGTAAGGGAAAAGTTGGTAAATGTATTTCTGCAGATGTAAATTCTGAAAAATTTCAGTTCTAACAACGGGCTATACCTGATCCAACTAAGGAAAGTATCAAAGAGTGTCTGAAAAGGGTGTTAGCTTTGTCACAAAACCTGCAGGTTGGTCTATTCCTAGGTCCATGGTTGATGGTGTTATTTAAAGGTGATACAACAATAAGAATGATGAGAATTGCAGTGTTAGCTCCGCACTCAAAAGCTGAACTGTAATGATGGAATAAATATATGAAATCTGGACATGTGCAACTCTATTGAGTTGTAGATAAGTTTTAAAAAACTTTCCTTATCACTGTTATCTGCTGAACAATTATAGCTTGACTTACAATCTTTTTTATATAGCCAATATTTATCTGAAGTTCACAAATCAGATTTTTGTCAAAGATGA